TGATGTGAAACGCCCTGAAAGTTTCACAGTGATGCTGTTGATAGTCATCTATTCACATTAGTGGCCAAGATGATGCTGGCATCATAGGTCAATACTAATCCTGAGTTGGCCAGTCTGACAGTTTTATTCCAGGGAGTAGTTGGTCTAAACAACTATAGTTAATGACAGCAACCTGAGAAATTTTGCTCTCAGAGGAGGAAGTCTTACAGCTGTTAACATGGAGCTTTCATTTCCCAAGAGATAATGAAATGGACATTAAAATACTTTGCTTAAGTAACCATAACTCTTACTATATTCTGAAATCAACATAATTATATGAATAATTATTCTTTTATGTTAGGCATCTTTCATTATGCATAATGTCTAAGAAATTCATCCACTTTTTATTACCAGGATCACTAGTTCACTCCTTTGTAGTTGATGAGTGGTATTCATTATATGTATACAGCACAGTTTATTTATCCACTCTCCCATTGCTGGAACTATCCATTTTTTTTTTATATTGTGATTCATATTTCTCTGTGCACTCATATAAAACTTAATATGATGAATTTTATATTGAATTCTAGGGCATACATTTCTAAGATTGCTGAATCTTAGAGCAGAGATATAATTTTATAAGAAACAGTCAAAGAATGTTTCAGAGTGTTCGTTCCATTTTATACTTTCACAAGCAGTGTTTGAGAGTTCTGGTTGTTTCACATCTTTATCAATATTTTATATTTTTAGTTCTTTTAATTTTAGCTGTCTGATATTCTGAAGTGATCTCCTTTTACTTCATTTCCCTTGTGATTAGTAACCCTGAGCTCTTCTTAATGATCTTCTTAACCGGCAATATATCACTTTTTGTGAAATACTTATTCAATTTCTTATATTAAAAAAGTGCAAACCCATAGGGCAGTATATTTAGCCTAAATACATTACAGTTACAGTTACATTAAATGCCTATAGACTAAATACATGTGCTAAATGACAGTGGTATTCAGACTGGATAAAAATATATAAATACCTTTGCTTATATACAGAAAAAGAAAATTTGAAAGAAAAAATGGGAAAATACATACATGAATGCTAACCAAAATAAAGTATCAAAAATTGCAAAGCATATTAATAGAAATAAAGACATTTTTTATTGAAAAAAGTCCATCCCAAAATGACATAGCAATTCTGAATCTCTGTGTACCTCATAATCTAGCCTCAAAAATATATAAAATAAAAGTAGAGAACTGAAAGGAGAAATTAGTCAAATCCATGCTCATAAGGTTAGATTTAACTTTCTTTCTTCAATAACTAAGAGAACAAGTAGATGGAAATTAATGTGAATATGAAAAAAATAACAAAAATAAACACAAACTAACCATCTATGGAAGACTAAACCTAACAATAGAGAAACACACATCTTTTCAAGATTATGGAGGTTATTTCCAAATTTAGTCGATGTTTGGTCATAAAGGAAGTTTCTAAACACATTTCAGTAGATTAAAGTCATAAAAACCATGTTTTCTAGTTTCTGTGAGATTAAGTTAAAGTCATTATCAGAAAAGGTAGCTAGAAAATCTTCAGCTCAGAACTCAGAACAGAACACTATACATTTCCAAATGATTCATGAATAAAGGGGAAAAAATTAAACAGAAAAATGGGAAGTCTTTTTAACTGGATAATAATTGAAAATAAAATATATCAAAACTGTGGAATACAGATAAAGCTGTAGTTAGAGGTAATATAATATAACATATAAGTGATATAGGTATTAATCTTAAGTACATATTTTAGAAAAGAAGAAAAGCTGTAACCCAATAAACCAAGTGTCCATCACAATTATTATTTGGCAAAGTAAGGTCACAGAGAGCAGAGGACAGAAAAAAAAGTGAGGTAATTGAAATTAGTGAAATAGCAAAGAAATGTACAATAGAGACTCAATAAAGCCAAAGACTATCTGAATAAAGAAATGAAATTAATACACCATAGAAAGACTATTCAAGATAAAAAGAAAAAGCATACATCACTAATATTAGATCTTTCCAACATAAGATATTTTCTTAGTAGGTTCTCTATGTAGACTTTGCTACTGTGAAGAAGTTATGCTTATTATCCCAAGTCAGTACTTAAGCCAATTGGATAGTTATGAATCAGAGAGGTAATTTAATAGGTTGGCATTTAATTTTCTAAAGTAATGACTTTTAACTTAGAGTTACACAGTTTTGTTTTGTTTTTTGATTTTTATTTATTTATGTTTACAGAACTGGGGTATAGGCCAGGGGTGTGGTGGGTGAGAAGATTCACCAGAGATAGAGTGGAGAACAGAACAGGTGTACTGACTGAAATACACTGCTGAGGGGGAGCAGTGGGCGGGTCAGGAGAAGTCTGCCACGCCATGTGGGTCAGCTCCCTGGTGGGGATCTAACTTCTGCTGCAGTAGCTTTGGAGGGCTTCATAATGTGGTGCTTTAACTTGCTGCACCACCAGGGAGAGCCCAGAGTTACAGTTTTACAAAGTTTGAAAATCCTTAGTGAAGTAACCAAATTAATCTTTGTATATGCAAAGCAAAAGATCAGGTGTTGGCCCTCAAATTATCCCACCCAATAGGCATGCCTGTGAAGACCCAGTTGGATTTTTTTTTTGAATGACTAATACATTAATTTCCTCAGTTGACTGACCATATGAGATCTTAGTATTTTTACATTTTGCATATATTAAAATGAATATTATTTTGCCAAGTGAGGTAAAATATGTACAAAAGTATAGAGGCAGGAAACAGAAGAACATGTTCAGGCTAAGAGGAACATTTCCTACCATAGAGTAAGACATTTTGGGGAGTACTGGACAGATAGGTTTGGTTCTGATTGTGAAAGGGCTTGGACCAAACATCTCCTTATACTTGCTTAGAACCCACCAAAGGTTTCTAAACATGGGTGTGACAAAAGCAGACTTAAATTTCAGAGAGCACTCAAGCTCATTCTTAATACTTCTTAAGCAAATGAATATGCCATTTCTTTTCCTAAGATGTAAGTAACAAACACATGGGGCTCTCAAAGCAGTGTTCTTTCTTCTATAGGCAAATAAACCAACTTGCTTTACACAATGTGGTGTGAAACACCCAGGTATTAGTTTTCTTTCTGTGGGAGTTTGCAATGTAGTAAATAGATAACATTTATATATATAATACAGAAATAAAATGGAATGGGAGCAAATGGGTATGAATTCCAGATATATGTCCTCTATTTCATTTATGTGACAGATATTTAATAAGCACCGCTTGTCGTGTGCCAACCATCTGCTAGACTTTAGATATACAGTGATGGACAAAATAAGCATAGAATTTGTCCTCATGAAACTTGCATGTTGGGAGGAGGGTAAAAAATGTCCAATTATCACAAAAACTTATTCAACAAATATAGAGTAATATAGGCCTGGCACTTTTTCAGGTGCTAGAGATAATTACGATAAATATCTGTATCCATACAGGGTTTATTTTCTACTGTGAGAAGACAGAAAATAAACTCTTATTTGTAATAAATAAGTGATGCATATATCTTATTAGAAAGAGATAGATGTTATTGGAAAAGAAAAACAAAGCGTGCTAAGACTTTAGTAATGGGGAGGAATATAGATAAAAGTTAGGATGGGTTATTATTCTAAACAAGACAGGTTCTCTGGGATCAGGACTAGTAAGCATAAGCTGAGGAGAGATTTGGGAATCGACTATGCAGATATCCAGGGGAAATGTAGTTTAGGCAGAAGGAACAGCCAATGTAAAGATCCAGAGATTCCAAATAGAGATAGTGTATTGGAGCTAAGGTATAATGGAGTTTTATCAATAAGATGCTCATCAAATGCTTTGAAATTTGTCAATCAGAGTTGTTTTGCTTCTCAATTTCACATGATTTCTAGACATTAGGCTCTCCTTAAAATCTATCTGGGTTGTCATTTCAAAGAGGAAGGTATACATGGTGTGGTTAGGCACAATTAGCAGAAAAGATCACTGGGTTCCAGATTTAGAAACTATGAGCCCGTATACACCTTGAAACTGTAGGTGAAATCAACTAGACAACCTTGTGTATGCAGTTTTTTGTCACTTATTCCAGACCTGATCAATTGCAATAAAAAAATTAAATATTTTATTTTGTTTCCATTCAGGTTTTAGTTTCTCTTCTTCCCCCTCCAGCTGTATTTAAAAGTCTTTTGGAGGAGAATGGAAAAATGTATTTTCTAAGCCCTATGTTTAGTGCTCAGTTCAGTATCCTGTCCACAATAGATTCTTAGTGGATGTTTGTTTTTTGTTGACTGTGATGATCAGATAGATTTAAGAGCGAAAAATATAACTCAGAGCCATAAACCATCGAGTCCCTTGTTTGGGCTTATCTGTATTGATGTTCCCATACCCCAGAGCATTTATCTTCTTTTCTCTTGGCAATTTTATTCACCTAGTGGTGTTTCCAGATAAGAAATGTAAATAAAAGTCTTTACCTAACTGCAGCATGTGTAATTCATATGTCATAGAGGATAATACTAAAAGAATTATTTTGTGTAATGAATTTAGCTGTAAGTAGATGAGTTATCACTATGAAGAATTACTCTCTCCTGAACTGCAGGGACTTCTTGAATATTGTCAGCATTTGAAGGCAGTGGGGAAAGGGAGCTCTCTAGGTAGTGACATCTGGCTAAATAACGAAGATTTCAATGTCTGTAGGAAATATGATTCCATTCCCCTTCTATGTAATGCAAAGAATCTTGACTATACTGACAATGAGGAAATACCCTTAGTAGTGAAGGAGTTAACTGACTGTGTATGCTTTATCTTGTGTCCAATGGACTTGTGGTTTGTTGATTAAAGACTCCGGTAAATGATTGTTAGAAACCTGTCATTGATAGCTGTTGCTAGTTGCTGTGTTTAAAAAGCTAGTTGATTCCTAGGCAAGGCAGTCCAGCATCTTCTCTCTCTTGACTCCCTTCAGCTCTACTGGGCTCTGCCTGCAAACGGACTCATCTACTCAGTAAACATGAGTGAAGAGGACTGCAACAAGATCTGTGACACAACCCAAAAAGAGGAGCTATACCAGCTTCCAGATGAACCAGAAGAAAATGAAGGTGCTATTTATGATGATGTCCACCAAGATTTGGACTCAGAAAGTAATTTATATGCCTCAAATCTGGAAACCTACGAATATGACTCTTTCTCGGCTGGTGTTGTTGGAGGTGAAGAGAACAACTTGACCTCTTCCCAGCCAGAATATGACCTGCTTTATGAGATATCCCCAGAAGAACCCCAATATCTTCAACCAGGGGAGCTCCAGAAAGATGAGGGCATCATCAGTGAAGAATTATACTCAACACCTGATGACCAAGAACTTGACTCAGAGGTTCCCCAAGAGAATGGAAGCAGGATGAAGGAAGACCCGCTTTCTGTTTCATGCTTCAGCATGCAGGAGAGCAATGCCTTCTCTACCGTGTCAGATTCCTCTGCTTGCTATTCTGCTGCTGATGATTTGGGAGAAAATGATTCATCTTCTGTGAACCCTGAGATTAATCTCTATGTGAAGGTAAGGGCTGCCTCTCATGGGCACACTACACATGCAGATGGCATAATTGGTGCTTAAATTTTCTCTGATTGACCAGGGAAAGTTGCGAAGTGTCGTGGTTGATGTACTTAATATTCAAAAGTAGAGCTAGTTGAATGAGTCATTTCAGCACTTGCTCCAGAATGCTCAAGATGGCAAAATTTGTCAAGGACATTTAAAGTGGGTACCTACTCATTGAATTTTGTATACCACAGGCTAAGCATTTTTTAAGAGTTCACATATGTATGAGCAGAAATCCTTACCTTTGTGACAGGTGCTAAGTCCATTTTCCTGTATGATCAAATCTCCTTTTTCCAAATGATCTTTAAAATTGAAAGTAAGGCCTCTACGAGAAGTAAAATCAAGAATGAAGTGGTGACTTCCCTCTGACTGTTTCGAAGGTCATAGATACTTGAGAGATATAGTCAATAAATGTCACATCTGCTTCTAAACTTGCCCTTTTGGCACCAATATAATGAAAAGAGCTAATGACATTATCTCTGAAGTAGTAAAATTCTATCAGTGCCTATGTTAATGCTTATTATATTTAAACAAAGAACTTTAATTCTTTGCATTAAGCTGATATTGTAATGCAGATGACATTTATACATACATATTCTCAATACCTTAGACACATTTTGGGGTAAACAGATCATCTTTATTAACCAAGGTGGCAGAACATTGCCCCCAACACCACTCTCCCACCCCATTCTCATATATTTTTTTTATGTGAAGACAACATATTAATCAACATGGCTGATAAAAACGATTATTCTATGACTCTACAGTACCCCCCATCCACATTTCTCTTTTTATTGTTGCAAGTGAAATGCAGTCTATTTAGTAATAATTCATCATTTTCTACTTTGTAACTTTTCCTCATGGTTTTGCATGCCTGTCACATCTCCTTTCTTCTAGCATGTAGTCATTTTACAAAGCAAGCTAGTAGAGTTTCTGGCTCAGTCTTTGGTATCCACCAGACCTTGCCCACTGTTGCACTGAGCATCTGTAGGGAAAGGGGTTTTTACGATAAGGCTCCCATTCTCAAGAAATCAGCAATGTGGTGCAGGAGGCAGACTTGTGCAAGGATAGTTCTGGTGAATAGAGGAGTATGTGGTTGTTTGGGGAATTCTGGGAGGGAGTGCCTAGGTGTGCACAAAGAAACCAGGAAAGTCTTGGGGGGGAAGAAAGAGGTAGCAGGGAGACTTTTTGCAGATACATTCAAGCAGCCGCCCCAGTTTCCATCTGTTGAATTAGTCTCCATCCCCACTCGCCCCCTACTTTGAATGTGAGACTGAAGTACTTTTTTGTACTGACAAAAGCACCCATGAACTTTGTGCAACAGGCAAGGTAGGTCATCATCGTTATTGGTGCACCAAGATATTATTCATAAATTTGGCAAAGAGTTGATTTCAACAGGACTTAGCTCATATTGAACAAAACAGGAGAAAAATAGAGGCATCTCCAGCTGGTACCAGTAACAGGAAAAACTGTTGACAGTAACAGGTTGTTCCTGAGTGAAGACCTATAGTATGCTAAAGCCAATCCTGGATTCAATCTGAATTAACTCTTTACATTTACCTTCCTTGTTAGTGTAACTGTGTTAGCTAAGAGGTCATGGAGTATACAGTGTGCCTCAGCTCCTGAATGTAAGCTCCTTTTTTAAGATAGTCAGCAGCAGTCAGTTAGAAGAGGGGTAGCTACCATCCCTGCCTCTTTCCACCACCCCCAACAGTTCTTCAGTTGAGGGTGAATGGCAGTGTGCTCTATGGGAATGGCTCATACAGGGAATGTTGTGCAGCATGTGAGTGGGGGCTATGAGGGTAACCTATCAGTTTCCTTGCTCCTTCCAGCTCTCTGGAGTGGGTGCTGGGATCCCCACATTAGAAAGAACTCCTTCTGGCTCACCATCTTCTCTGAAGGATTTGTTGCTCTGCTCCAGAAGTATTCCTGGTTGTCTTTTGCTTCTGGGCTGTTTCAGGTAGACTGCTTGACTGCTTCTGCTGTTCTCTGCGCAGATTTCTGTGTTTCCACCAGTTCTAGGCAAGCCAATGAAAATGTCATGCAGGTTTGTTACTAATTACTAATGAAATTGAAATACATTATCAACATTGGTATTTGTGCCAGTCCCTGAAGTTACAGCAACGAACAGAACAAAACACTATGCACTTTGTACTGTAGAAGGAAAAATACCCCACAGACAAATGAATAAATGTACCTGACGCCCTGCGTGATGGTGGCAAAAAGAAGCTTAGCACAGAAGAATGGGGCTGGGAATTTCCTACTGCTAAATAACAGACATTACACTTAGTGATGTGAAACAACACATGCTCATTCTCAGATATCAGGGATCAGAAATGAGTTTAGGGAGCTGGAGTCAAGGTGTAGCAGGACTTTCCTTCCTCCGGGGTGGTAGGGAAAAGCCCCCTTCTTCCCCTCTCCCATCCTCTCCAGACTGTGCTCTTTCCTCACTCATAGCCGCTTCTCTCCCAGCTTCCACCTTCACCTTGCCTGCTGCCCTGACTGCCGTATCCCTCTCATAAAGGGAACCTTGTGATTAGATGAGGCCTGGCAGGAAAATTCAGGAGAATCTTCTGTTATATAGACCCTTAATTTAATCACATCTGCAAGGTCCCTTTTGACACAAAACGTAACAGTCATGGGTTCTGGGAATGAAGACATGGATACACTTGTGCATGATGGCTTAGCCTTTACCAAGGGGACAGAGTGATGGTGAGTAGGGGAGTGAGGAGGTAGCACTCTGGAGTGGGGTGAGCATGGAGGGAGGCGACAACTCCAGAGAGGTGAGTGGGCACAGGTCATGTCAAGTCTGGTGGGTCACTGGAAGAAATTTCCCTTTTACACTGATGATAATCAGAGTTGTCATTCTGATTGCCTTTAGATAACAGATGTAGCAGAGAAAGTAGAGATAGGGAGAGTAGTTTGCAGGCAATTGAAATACTAAGCAAAGAAGACAAGGGATTGGTATATGGTGATAGCATTGAAGGTTGTGCCTAGTAGAAGTCTGGGTTGTTTTGACAAGAGAGACAAAAGGTTTAGTGGTTTTGATGTGGATTATAAAGAAGAGTGAGCCAAGATTGACTCTAGGGAATTTGATCAGTTATCCTGAGGGAATGGAAATGTTATTTCCATTCCAATTATGGCAACATGGAAACATGATGGAGAAAAATGTGCTCATAAGCCATTCATACATATTCCTTCCTTTCCGACCTTCCCTCCTCCCTCCTTCCATCTTTTCTTCTTCCCGTCAATCATCCAACATTTACAGTTGTACTACATGTCAGGTATTGGATAGACAACAGATAAATGCAGCACATCTTTGGTCCACTGTTCTGTGGGGAACACAGAAAAATAAAATTCTTAAAGATGATAGAAGGAAAGAAATTACTTCTACCTCCTTGATTTAGATCTAGTGAAAAGGGGGTCTTCAGAGAGAGAGAGTTTCAATCCATTTCAAAAGGCAACCCAGAGGAATGCTTGATTCAGACTATACTCTTTTTTGGCTTTTTGGAGGAGGGAGTACTAAAATTTTGTGGATTCTGTGATGGTTTGATTCCAGGATTATAAGACTACTTTGCTGCTTTTTTCTAAAATTTGGGGAACTATAGGTATTTTCCTGATTCTGTCTGTATGTGTGTGTATGGCAAAGAGAGAGAGAGGAGCATTTTGATATATATTTTTTTAATTAGGAGAAAAGTATTTTGGTGATGATTTTTTTTTTCCAAAAAAAGGGCATACATGAACACCATTTTTCTTTCTTTCTTTTTTTAAAATTTTTGTGCATTTTTCCATCTCAGTTGCAATCCCCTTCGGCTTCCCATCACCAAATCACCCATGTACCATCACCATAGTCTAGTGCATTTAGCACCATTTTCTTGCATATAATTTACATCATTAACTGAATAAAGGCAGAATATGTTGTTGAGCACAGGTAAAGTCAGGCTGCATGGCTTGAAAGCTGGATTAGCAAATTAATTTCTGTTAAATTGTTTAGCTTCTTTTTGTTACAATTTCCTCATGGATGGATGTATGTTATGATATGAGCCTCATAGGGTTGTTGAGAATAAATGCTCAGTATATAGTATGGATTAAGTATATAGTGTGGATTATTATATAGTCTAAATTATTAGTATTTATATTACTGTGATGAATTTGAACCACTCACAAAATAGGAGTTTTTATTTTAAGCATATTGCTTTCTAGTTAGTAGGTATTGATAAATGCTTCATTATTTGATCTTCACACAAGCAGTGTAATGTAGTGGAGAGAAGATCAGCCAGGAAATTCTGATATAGCTTCTATAAATTTTTATGAAACATTCCTAGACCCAAGTATCTTCATCTTGGAAATGCAATGCCTTCCTACTATCCCAGTTCTTTGATTCCAGGGCATATAGGTTTTATGTCTCCAGTTCTTTATCAGCGCATATTTGTGGTGCCACCTACTACCCCCTTCAGTGGAATTTTCAGTAATGATTATGAGCTCTAGATTTGGGTGTGGTTGGAGGAATAATAGGAAACCAGTGCTCCTTGCCAGCTTTAATATTCTTGAAACCTCTGTTTTGGAAAGCACCTGCATAGCCTGTCTCTAATTAAGCAATCACAGAACCCCCATGGAAGGCTGTCCATGTTGCACATTGAGCAGACAGAATAGTTTAAACAATAGAAATTTAGTTTCTCCCAATTATGGAGGATAGAAGTCCAAAATAAAGGTATTGACAGCATTGGCTTCTTCTAGAGACTCTCTTCTCGATTTGTAGATGGATGTTTTCCTCCAGTACTTACGATGGCTATGACTTTTTTACTTATCTGTGTTCTCATCTCCTCTTCTTATTAGAACACCAGTATAATTAAATGAACTCCACAATAATGATCTGATTTTAACTTAGTTACCTCTAGACCCTGATTCCAAATATAGTAACATTCTGTGGTACTAGGGATTAGGATTCAACAGATGAATTT